GTCTGTGCTCACGCTTGCAGCACCTGGATCCTCAAACACCCTTTTCAGCTTTGGGATGCGTGTCAAGCGCGTCAAAGCCTCCATGTGCTTGCCAAGCTTGCGCAGGAAGCCATGTCGGAGAAAGTACGTCAAGTCGGAGAAAAGGATGGGGTACAAGCAGTTGCCTTGGCGAGTCAACTTTCGAAGCCCGAAGCCCAGATCTCTACGCAGACATCCCCGTCTTGGAGGTTTAGGGTACTTATAACCAAGTAGAACAGCACTTATAAGATCCCTAAGTCCTCTAAGTAGGCTACAAGTGGACTTAGAATTGGGGTCAAGTAGGTTATAAGTGTACTTGTAATTGGGGCTAAGTAGGTTATAAGTGCACTTAGAATTGGGGCTAAGTAGGCTACAAGTGGACTTATAATTGGGGTGATAAGTACCCGTGAACCTCCAAGTTTTGCATCCAGGGGGGCTGAGAGCCATCCAGAGCAGAGCCAGGAGCGTGGCAGCATCCATCCTTGAGATTGCTTGGTTTTTGGTTTAGGGTTTAGGGTTTAGGATTTAAGGTTTAAGGTTTAGGGTTTAGGGTTTAGGGTTTAGGGACAAGCGGCTCTCACGCGCGATTCACGCTTCGGTGTTGCGGAGCGACCGCCTTTAGACATGGCATGACATGGCTTTGAGACGTCTGACAAGCTGTCGGTAACCGGGGTGGACCGGGACGATGCTTGGATGTTCGCAACTTTCTGTGCTAGGCTTGGGAAGTCCTTTCTACCCTTAAGCACCCGGGACCCTAAACCCTAACCCCAAACCCATTCTCTGAACCCAGGCTCTTGATGTTAGCCAGCACGACAGGAAAACCCCAAGCAAACCCCAAACCCCAAATCCTAAACCCTAAACCCCTAAACCCATCTCCAACTACGCCTCTACTTAAACCACTAAACCCTATATCCTAAGCCCTTTTTTTGCATCCGGGCTCTACGCGATATCTACCGGAACCAAAGACTCAACCCACTTCGCTCCATCTCATGATTGAATAATCCTAAGCCCAGTTGCTGTGTCCTGGTTCGTGCTGGGGTGCAGCAGACTTGTGGCCCAAAAGCTTTCTGGCACTCGTTGGCACCAAAGACGCTCCTAAGCCCTAAACCCCGAAACCCTAAATCCAAGGCCGATGCAAAGACCGGATTTCTGCTGCCCCGGTACTGAGGCACTGGTACCGGGCGACGCCAGGCTCCTGCGGCCAAGGATGCTGCACTTGAGAAGGCTCATTGGGTAGAAGTAGGGTTAGATGAGTTTGGCTGTCTGGATGTGTTTTTTACATACATACATACATACATGCATGCATGCATACATACATACTTTGCTTCTGCGGGGTACGGTTTTCCTACTTGGCTATGTACATAATGACTTGTTGTAAACGGTATCGCTAGTAGGCTCACCCATGCCTCCGACCGCCTCATCTCCAAATCTCGGCTCAGCACCCGAACCTCCCTTACACTGACAGTCCTTAATCGGGTTAATTTGCAGCATGTTGCATGAATCCCAAAGCGGGAAATCCCCGAACATGTGCAACAGCCTCAGGTGCTTTTGGGGTTCCTGAACCCCCCATTGGCCTCCCGACTTTGCTGGGAGCTGCCGCTTCTGCCCCGCAGGAAGGCTGGCCTCATACCTGGGAGGAGAGCTCTAAGCATCACGTCCACAAGAGCTTCTCGCAACACACCGCGTCATGCCTGAGGGAACAACTCCCTCGGCCTCTGGCAGCCGAACTCTGTGTGCGCACCACCCCTACGAGAAGATTGACATTCTATGCCACGTTCATTAGCCCAGTGCCTTTTCACTGAGCCTGACTTTCAACGCCTCCCAGGCAGAGCCCTAGCACAGCCTTGAGCACGGTGCTGCAGGCACGCTGCTCGCATAAGAGGTCCAGGTACTGCAACCAGAGGCTCTTGCCCGTATGCCTTGGCTCTGCAGGAAATTCCGAGCAGCTCTGAAGCTTTCGAAGCCAGAGAGATTTTGGGCTTTAGGGTCCAGGGTTCAGGTCCCCGTTGCGCTCATACGCCGTCTGACGTAGGCTAGTTTCAGGAAACGACGGCTGCTTCGATATCAGCTATGCGTACTTGCTGTACACCATGTTGGGCTAGTGACAGATCCTGCGTGGGATTTCATGTCACAGGGTAAGTACAGTCTACAAAGTGGGCGAGCATACAGCCCACCAAAAGCTGAGCCCCAGTTTCAGACATGCAGTGCACATGGTGTGCACGCCTCGCTCGCAACGTAAACAAAAGCCCAAAAGAACCAAAAAGAGGATTTGGGGTTTACGAAAAAGGGGGACCCCTACAATGGACCCCTAAATAGTGGGATCCCCTTATGACTCCAACAAGGTACCCTAATTTCCGAAACCACCCTTGGTATCAATGAGGGCACAGCAAACAGCGGGTGGCGATGCCGAGGATTGGCCCTGGCAGCATCGGGCTGCAGAAACAAAGAAGTCACAAAAGAGCCTGTCGCAGAGTGGACCTTCATTGACTGATGCTGCCGTGAGACACTGGTGTGGCAAAGGGTAGGCATGTGTAACATGCGAAACTCTGAATGGCCTGTTGCATCCTTGGGCAGGTGCGACACGCACAAATGCAGGGCACGTGATCTGCCTGAAAGATGGAGCATCTGAAGGAAGATGAATTGCATCTTCGCTCCTCGCGTCCTGAGACATTGGAGTTTCTGAGACAAGCCGCCACCATGTTTCTGAAACCCATGCCCTGCCGGTACTATATGGTACGACGATATGTCCCAGAATTCGGGGTACTACAAATCCCCCGAGTACAAACAGGTACCCATATTTGCGGAAGCCCCCGTATGTAGACCGGGCTGGGCACGGGCCACGCCAAATGCGGAGCACACCAGCCACATGTAGGCCCCGGACAGCGGCAGCTCGGAGGATGTGAAGTCCCGAAGGCGGCGGAGCCGTGTCTTTGGGTCCTCCACGCCCTCGGAGTCGCATGGAAGTTGCACGCAGACCCCAGTTTAAAGGCGAATCTCAGGCCCCTTTTCCGCTATCTACCATATGTCTTCCACCGAGGCCAACCCCAACAAAATCCAACAATGCACCGGTAGTCATAATAGTAATATTAGCAACAATAGTAATAATAGTAATAATAGTAATAATAGTAATAATAGTAATAATAGTAATAATAGTAATAATAGTAATAATAGTAATAATAGTAATAATAGTAATAATAGTAATAATAGTAATAATAGTCATAATAGTCATGATAGTAATAATAGTAGGAAGAATATTCATAGAAATCTTATAACCTAAAGAAACAAAACCTAGTGCAAAGCGGCTTCGGCCACAGCTGCCCGCTGCCTGGGCACACGCAGGGGTGTAGGGAGTAGGGACGGCCAAAGCACATAAAAATTGCCGGAACTCCTCTAAATCCTAAACCCTAAACCCTTTTGCAGCAGGCTTGCAGAAGAAACCCTAAACCCTAAACCCTAAACCCTAAACCCTAAACCCTAAACCCTAAACCCTAAACCCTAAACCCTAAACCCTATACACCCAACCATGCCCCGCCTGTCGATCTTCTCCTGATCTTCCGCTTTCTTGCGAGCGGCACCCTCCGTAAAGCGCCTCTCGAACTTCAGGGCGGCTGTGTCACCCTTCACCGCGTCCTCCTCAAAATCCGACGCCTGTCGAAGGTCAGGTCAAGGGATTGTCGGTTCTGTGGGGGAAGTTTAGGAGGTAAGCTTTCATGAAAGTAATAGTAGCAATAGTAATAATAATAATAATAGTAATAATAGTAATCATAGTAAAAATAGAAATAATAGGAATAACAGAACAACTTGGTTGTAGGGCTTAGGAAGCTTGGGGGGCCAAGGCCTCATCTCGATGCTGGGTGCTCAGGACGCCGCAGAAAGGGCAGTTCTTGCCGCTGCCGCTGCCTTTCTCCTGCAGACTCAGGACTAAATTGCGCACGGTTTGCGGCACGTAGTGTGTCAATTCGTGGTTCAGGACCATGGCTGCGGAAACACAGCACAGCTCTCGTGACTGCACCATGCTTCCACCAACATTTGCACAAGTCCAGATTCCAGAATCAAGTTGAAATAGCCAAAGCCTTAAAAATCCGTAGTTTCTCAGATGGCCAACCTTACAGTAAGGCTTTCTCCCTGAAGCCTGAGACAGCATCGTTTAGGGTTTAAGGATTCGGGTTTAGGGTTTAGGGTTTAGGGTTTAGGGTTTAGGGTTGAGGGTTTAGGGTTTAGGGTTTAGGGTTTAGGGTTTAGGGCCGTTTAGGGTTTAGGGTTTAGGGAGCCCTAAGCACGGATATCGGCTGTTTCGTTCTAAGCTCGGATCATGATGTGCCTGAGTTCTGACATCGACGTATCTATTCTTTTGCAAGCGCTTGGCTCCTCCTGCCAGCTTCCGCCGCATTCTTGGCACACGATCAGCACCATTGCAAGTCACGCGAGTCATCAATTCTGTTTTATGTTTACTGCGTTCCTCCCAGCTGCCTGCCATGATGGTCTGGCACCCGCACGTGAGGTGACAGATTAGTTCAACACATGTAGAGACAGAAGCCCGCATGCATTGCGCTCAGTGAGTGCAAACACGAGATTTTCCAGGGTCGCAAAGCCATGCGGAGCAACTCAGAGAACTCTTCTTGGTTCGAACGGAGAAGTGTGGATAGGAGGGCAGGGCGGGTTTGGGGATGCACCCCCCTTATACTACCAGGCGCCTTAATAGGTATCACAAGACCACCTACTAGAATCATCTAGAATCCCTATGAAGGACTGCTAGTATAAAGGGGGGACACCCCCATGTCGTACCATCAAAGGGCTTGTGCAAGTCGGGCCCAAGGTCTTGAGGGGCAATGGCCACGGCCTTCACCAGAGAAGTCTGCTTTCAAGCTCGGGGGGGGGGGGGCTCTCTGCATTGCAGTGCGTTGCCCAGGTCTTGGCTCTTGCAGTTTTTTCTGCACTTCTGCCTCCTGCGCACAACACCACATCTTCCAACTGGTGCAGGCCTCGTGGCTTTTGACGTTCGTTTTTCCTGTGATGCCGGCCTGGATGCCCATTTCAGATCACAGCTATCAAATTGTGCAGCCGTGTGCCGAAACCTTTCTCACTTCAAGTCTGAGCCCATCGCCCCTTGAACCAGGACGTCAATGCGGCCGCTCTCGCGCAGCACCTGGCGTTGCAAACCTTCACGTCACATGTCGCACACGTGCACACACCCACTCAAACCTGAAGCAAAACAGGCCCATGCGCCTCTGCAATCGCCTTCTGCACTTGTCCCTCCTTGCTGAACAGCAAGTCTGCATGGGACTTTTCGGGAAGACTCATCTTTTTGAGGACACGCATGCTGCGGGTGCAGAGGCACAGCATGTTGGCACAGCTTCAGCAAGTTTCTCCACTGCTCGGCACGCGTCAGGGCGGCGTGTGCCGCAGCCATATGACCTAAGATGCTAGCAAGGTCTTTCAAAGATGGCTACTGATTTGGATGTAAAGGTGTTGGGATCGTGCTGTTGATTGTGATGTTGCTTTCCGCTTGGTTGCAGCATTTAGGCTGCTATTGCCCGACAAGCCAAACGAAAATTTTCTCTGAGCACCATTTTTTTTGCATCCAGCTTTCTCTAAGCACCCTAAACCCCTAAACCCTAAACCCTAAACCCCAAGCCCAAAGGTGCATTGAACTCCGCATGGCAGGTTTAGGGCTCAGGGCTTCGGGCGTCACCTCGACTCACAGATTCAGCCCAACGTCTTTCTTTAATGTCATGAACTACTTGTGGTTGTGGGGCTTGACCTGAATGATGGGCTAGGGGCCTCCATTCTTGTAATTTTTATTCCTCATCATATAGTTTTGTAGGTTCTTTTCTTGGCCATGCGCCTAGCTGAACTGACGTTCACATTGCAGGGTCTTGGCGATAGCTGTGGGAAAATTACAGGCAACATCACTTGTCGATGCCACACCAGAGTGGTTTGGGGAAATCTTCCAGACCTTCCAGAAAGCAACATGCAAGAAGCCAAAGAAACAAGCGGGTTCAGGGTTGAGAGGTTAGGGTACCAGGATTAATCATCAGCCCCCACGTCTTTCTTCCTTTGTGGCAGCTTCTTTCGTTGCATGTGTGGGTGCGGGTGTCTGTATGTGTCTTACCCATCTGTCACTGCGCATGGCTGTGTCATTATCTGTCGCTCTCCCATGTTTCACACGTTCGATCGCTCTCGTTCATTCTTGCTCTCTCTATTTCCCTCTTCCCTGTGCCGTTCTCGCTGGCGTTCTGAAGCAGCCAAACCGCCCCAAGCCAGGCAGCTCAGAAAACGAGAGGCCCAGAAGCCAAGATGAGAAGATCAAGCCCAGATGCACTCGGTAAAGCACTGGGCTCGGTTGATGCTCGCCGTCTAAAGTCCAGCAACCGCAGCGAGATGCCACGTGATAACAGCCTTAGGGTTCGGTTTAAGGAGTTTAATCCAAAACCCTGAACCCTAAACCCTAAACCCTAAACCCTAAACCCTAAACCCTGTAAACCAATGCACCAAAAGGGCTCAGAGTGCCAGCCGCACGTCGCGGAGGCGCGAGGCTTCCACGAAGTCCACACCACCGCGCTCACAGCCTCGCACGCCCGCTGAACCAGGGTTTAGGGTTTAGGGTTTAGGGTTTAGGGTTTAGGGTTTAGGGTTTAGGGTTTAGGGTTTAGGGTTTAGGGTTTAGGGTTTAGGGTTTAGGGTTTAGGATTTAGGGTTTAGGGTTTAGGGTTTAGGGTTTAGGGTTTAGGATTTAGGGTTTAGGGTTTAGGGTTTAGGGTTCGAGCACATGGGTATGTGGCCCAGTGCTGCGATCAGGCCCCATGAACGTCAGCCTCAGCCTCGTTGACACAAAAAAGGGTCTTGCGAACAGGCCGCGTAAGGCATAGCTGGTGACGCCATCCTCATGGACCACCTTTGTAACCACGGACACCTCCACAGTTGGGGAGTATGGGGGGGCTTCTCACAGCCCTTGCGTCCGCGGATTGCTTGAACTTGGGATGTTCCCCCTTATACAATACTTACTAACAGTCCTTAATAAGCATTCTCGTAGGGGGTGCTATAATCCCAATTAAGGACTGTTAGTATAAGGGGGAACATCCCAAGTTTTAACTTCAAGCTGATCTCGCATTCATCGGCTTTCGGCCTTCGGAGGGGAGCGTTGTACACCTCCGCCCCACGCGTCAATGAGGTCCTGCCGTGGCTTATGGTGTGGGATCGCTGGGCAATTCCTAGACACTCGGATGTTCAGCTTGGCCAAGGGGACCAATTCCAGTTTCTACTAGTCTTGAGATCAGATCAGCGATGCCCCAACAGCAGGACATGTTCTTCAGGCGATGGATTGGGGGCGCGCCCTTGCGTGTGCTGACCACGCGGATGCGACTACAAATGCGTCGAGCGTCCAGCGAGTAGGTCACCACATTGCCCTTTTTCAACATCTGAGCGTCGACGGGTGACCAGGTCCTTGCTCTGCAACAACAGTAATCACTCAAAACCCACAAAACCCCCCCAAAACACCTAAAAGCCGCCTTAAAACCCCTAAACCCCCCTAAAGCGCCCCCTCCTCCCCGCCCCCCCCCCCCAAACCCTAAACCCTAAACCCTAAATTTAAACCCTAAACCCCCAACCCTAAACCCAACCCTAAACCCTAAACCCCTTAAAAAAAATGGCGGAAAACAACAACTAGCTTAACTCAGCTCACTTGCTTTCAACGCGGAGCGTCCCAGAAGGCCCGGAGGCAGAGGGCCCCGAACTGCGGAGCTGCCTCGCCAACTCTTTGCTTTAAAGGGCTGTTTTGTTTCCTTTTGTTTTTTTTCTTCTGGACAGAAGCTTCTTCTTGAATTTGAGTAGGGTTTAGGGTTTCGGGTTTAGGGTTTAGGGTTTAAGGTTTGGGTTTAGGGGTCTGGGGTTTAGGGAGTTTAGGTTTTAGGGGTTTAGGGGTTTAGGGGTTTTTAGGGGTTTTCGGCTCTCACGGTTTAGATCCATGACCCTGCTGATAATCGTCCCTTTGCCATTCCGCGCGGCTCCCCTTCCAGGCCTCCGCAATGCACTGTTCTGGGCCTCTAGGTCGGCAATACGTTCTGCCTCGCCGTTTGGCAAGGAGGAAGGCTTGGGGTTTAGGGCTTACTTGGAGGTTTGGTACCTATAACTGTACTTAAGACTGTACTTATAACTTTTTTAGGGCACTTAAGGGGCTTAGAAGTGGGGTATAAGTACAGTTATATTTGGTTAACAGGTACCATGAACCTAGTAGGGTTGAGGGTTGAGGGTCCCGGGGGGTTCTTGGCAGGGCAGGAAACGAGCACACATAGAAACATAGCTCTTCTGATTCTGTTGGTTCTGCTGTGGGCTTACTTTTGCTTTAAAAGTAAGGAGCTAGTGCCTCACAGTCAGAGGCAAGAAAGAACACAGGTATCCAAGTTTTCTGAGACAGTTTTGTTTTTTGCTTCACTCTTGACTCTGAGGCTCCAGGTTCTTCAAATGTCTTATCAGAACCGGTGTTCTGAACCCCAAGGAGCCCTCTTTGAAAAACACACGCGCACACACACCACACACACCACACACACAGAGAGAGTCAGACAGACAGACAGACATACATTAATGAATTAATGATTCACAGCACGCAAGCACGCACACTCGTAAGGCTCGGGCCTCAGCGGGATCTGCTTTTGGACCCATCAGAGAACGTCCATTATAGCAGTCACCATCTCATCATACTTTCCATACCGATTAAGACTGAAGTTTTGTGAATAACGAAAGAATAAACCGGAAGCGATAACAGTGACAGCCCTTCCGCGCCGCCGAAACCACAAGGCGTCATAGTCAAAATGATACCCAACTTAGGGTAGTTCGCCTCGGCTTCCTGCCGAGAAGCGTCTGGAACAAGCAGACCCGGATCGGGCCTCCTTCCCCCTAACCCAACCCTTCCCCCCATGCAAAATTTTTTGACGCCACCCCCCCCCCCCCCCGCCCTGTGGGACCCCCCTGCAAACCGATGCCGGTGGAGGGTCCCGCTTGTCGGTGGCTCCGACAGGAAAAGTACCCCCTCTCAACCCCCCCACCCCCACCCCCCCTCCCCCCCCCCCCCCCCCCCCCCCCCCACCCCCCCCCCCCCCCCCCCCCCCCCCCCCCCCCCCCCCCCCCCCCCCCCCCCCCACCCCCCCCCCTCTTAACCCTTCCTTGTTTTGTGAAACCCTCTTTCCTCCTTTCCTGCCTGGGGCCGGCCCGGCTGCCGAGGCGGCGCGCGCAAGCGTTTACAATTACATGGTCCCTTCATCTGGGCCCTTAAAAGGGGCCCCAGGTCTGTACCCTACACCCTCTTAGACCACCGGACTTACCTGGCGAACTCGATTCCTCGGCCCTCCTCCCGCCAAAGCCTGTGCCGCTATCAGCGCCTCGGCTTCTGCCAGCCGCCGCTCTGCGGCACCTCCTGACATTACCAACTAGGGTTTAGGGCTTAGGGTTTAGGATTTACCTCCGGTACGTTCACTTCATTCCTTGGGCCATGGTCAGAATTCCCGTCAGCAGGGCCTCTTACCTATGGCGAGCCCAGCAATTAAAACCTGATTGCAGGCATTGACGTGCAGCGTGGCCTTGATGAAAACTCACCACTCTGCCCCAGATGGTATGTCAAGCATACATACTGCAAAGCTGCACAACAGGCCTTCGGTTGCCGAGCCGACAGCTGTAGCAGATGCTGACCGCGTCGGAGGCTGTGTCGGAGGCTGTGTCGGAGGCTGCGTCGGAGGCTGCATCTGTGTCGGAGGCTGCGCAGGAGATTCGACGCGCCGCGTCCCTGCCACACACCGCATGTTGCATGCACTCTTGGTGACTGGGTGGCATTCTTGGACAAATAGCGAAAGGATGCGAAGGGTCATGCAAGGCCTGTAGCTACGCCCATGCCGTGCAGTGGTGATGTCTCGGCCTGTCGGTGCTTCTCCTTGCGGCATGGAGCCTGCCTGACAATGTCTGACAGAAATGTAAGGCCCATTGCGCACTAAGCGAACACCTCACGGCGCCTAGTCGAGTCAACCAATCAACTGACCTGCTGCATCTTGCCTTGCGTTTGGGTGCTCTGGAAGCAGCGGCGACGCGATCACCTAAGTGAGCGGACGTTCTTAGGTGCTAAGCTTGGCGCACCCTTTTGGAAAGGGAATTGGTGGCCAGAACCTACAGCCCAGTCAGGCTTCCATGAAAAAAGGCATGGTCCAAAGGCTTTTCTTGAGTCCCAAAAAATAAAGGTGCGCTCGCCTTCCCAGCAGGGGGCTTGATTCCGCAAAATCTCAGCGGCATTCTGCTGAACTCAGTTTGCTGTGCGAAGCATTCAAGGATTTCGAGACGTACGCTTACACGGAATCATTTGCCACACTAGCAGCTTTCGATGGACAGCCGACTTGCCCAGCCGCATGCCCGACGCTGCTGCACTGAAAGAACTCCGATACCACGTCTGAAACTATGAGCTCGAGCCTTCTGGAAGCTTTCCAGGTCGACATCGGGGTTTGGAGCCTTGCGGACCTGAGCTTTTACGAAGGAATGTTGCTAATGGTTGCGGTACTCCTCGCACTGGTTTCAGCCAGTAGCTTGCGGCGTCCATCACGGATCTGAAGCTCAGCGCTTCAGCAGGATAGACCTTACTCACGCACCGCCAAAGCCCAGCAGAGAGACCCGAGACTCTTCCATTCCAAACCCCGAAAGCACATCTTCCGAAAGATGTGCCAAGCTGCCCATAGTTCGTCATCTTGCCGCAGGAGACCTGCGATGTAACAACCGTCATAGTCACATGTATAGAAAAATACAATTTGTGCATATTCAATCTCATGCATCACATCCATGCCAACAAGCAACTGTCTGCTATTGTCAATGTGTGCGGCTGCGTGGCTCAGCGGCTCACTCGGTGGTATAGCGAAGCCTGGCGGGACCTCTGTCAGACATGACCCGCGCAGACAAAGAAAATCTGTGACTTGTGTAGCCATACTGGCAGAACCCACCGAAATACTGCACTTGCTATTGCTTCCTTCTGTCACCATTTCTGGCCAGGGCACATACACTGCGGGTTGTTTCGCCCCGCTGCGCTCGGCCAACCTAAGGTGTGAATTTGCGCGTGCGCCTTCACCATCTTTGCATGATATGAGCAGCGGTCAATATTACTTGTTAAGCTGAAGTACATGGATGTTTTGGGGTTATCGTTTTCTGCGTGTCCCATATCGTTCTGCAGATCAAAAGCCACCAAACCATAAACTGATGTCCGCCCCTTACTGAAGCTAGTCAACGCTCATTTTGACGGTCGCCCATATGGGCATGATTTGCTGTCGACATCAACATTATCTTTTGAAGTGATCCCGTGCTGAACCATTTCCGCGTGACAGCCGGCAGAAGTCGCCAACTGTGCCGTGCATCATCTCCTGGCAGAATGGATATGCCAAATCATTCCTCCTGTCCTTGCTCAGTGGCGCAAGGTCGGAAGTCCTGCGGCACGTCCACTTCCACTGCCACTTTTGGCCATGGCGGCGCTCGAGGCCGCGAGCTTCCCATGCAGCGAAAACGCATGGAAGCCATGGCCAGGCTTACTCCATGCCTTCGCCAAAAATGTGCAACTGCAACGAATGCTGCTGATGTGCCCACTCTTGGTCGTAGCTGGTCGTAGCTGATCATAGCTGGTTTAGCTGGTCCCTAGCTGGTCCTAGCTGGTCGTAGGTGGTCGTCGTGTCTTGCGCGATCTTGTCTGCCACTTGCAATGCATTACTTGACTGCGCGGTTGACATGCTCGGCCTCAAGACATCACCACCTCCCCTAGAGCCCTCAGAACCGGAAAAGGCGAGGTGCAGTTCAGGATGGAATTCCTGAGACACGGAAATCACGGAAATGCAAGACGAAAGTCGGAGCCCGTCCTCGGCCAAATCTAGTTGCAGCGCACCAGCTTTGATGCCAGGAGTTGCCTGCAGCCAAAGAACTGGCTCGGCTCAATCAGTCAAGGGAATCGGACCCCTAGGATTATCGTGGGGCACGGATGGATCAGGCTTTTCAAATCAAACTACACATATTAGCTTGATCAAAAGAACCTGCCGTTTCATATTTCGGCGACACGAAAGAATTAGTCCTTGACAGGTCTGCGCTTGTTTTTGAGCTGAAGGTCCCAATGGTCTTTCTTTTTCTGATGGTGCTGATGGTGGCGGGCAAGCCCCGCACGCCGAATCGATGGGATGCCACCCAGGCCGTACTGGTGTAGTAGTGTAGAAAGGGCCGAAACCCTAAACCCTAAACCCTAAGCCCTCAACCCTAAACCCTAAACCCTAAACCCATAAACCAGCAGGCTGGGCAACAGGAAGATAGCCACTGACCCAGCCTCTGCCAGGCCGGGCACCGACCAAAACGACTGCAGCCCTCGTCTGGCCGCATGTAAACAATTTTGCAAACTTGTGAGCTCACTGGGTCTTCTTGTGGCTCGCAGCGGGGGGCTTTGAGCTGCAGCAGCAGCCACAGGAACAGCAGCACCAAAGCATCATGCGGCCACAGCACAGAAGGACGCCAACCACGAGCACCAGGATCGACATGCTCAGCGCCTTCTCTACCCCTTGATCCCGCAGGAACAATGGGTCCACCTGGTCCATCTTCTCCTGCACTTGCGGCAAAGGGTCTGGAAAGTGCCCCTCGGCCACTTCTTCAACAAGGTCCAAGGTTCGCTGGAGACCCCCCAGGCTGTGCAAGTCCGCTGCCGCCGCACGGGTCGCGTCTGCGAAAACTGGACTGTGGACAACTGCATTCGCTGCCTCCACCAAGTTTGAGAAGTCTGGCTTCACAAGCACTGCGGCTCCAAGCTCCACAAGCCTCTGGGCGCTCCCACGCTGGTCGGCAAAGGAAGGGTACGCGAGAACGGGTACACCTGCTGCCAACGTGTCTGTCACACCGCCCCAGCCACAATGTGACAGGAAGGCCTTGACGGCAGGGTGGCCCAGAACCTCCGGCTGCGGGGTGAACTCCTCAACCCGAAGCCGATCATCATGGGGCAACAAGTGCTTCAAAGACTCCTGCTGCGAGGCGCGCAGGGACCAGAGGATGCGGAAGCCGTTTAACGTGAGCTTTCCAAATTCCGCGACCAGATTCGCAGCACTGGAATTGGTGAAGTCATACTGGGTCCCCATTGATGCATAGACTACAGGGGCTTTTCCGGCATCATCCAACCAGCTCCCCAATTCTGTTGGCAAACTTCGTGGCTTTGGCTTCTCTACAGTCCCCACAACGTGGCTCCCGACGGGTAGCTTAATTGGCAGAGTGAGCGGCGGTCCACCCAGCATCACATTTGTCCGTGCACCAAGGAGAATATCTGTATGATCAACTGCAGTCTCAAAGCCTCTACCTTTCAACAACAAGTTGAAGACAGAAACTATGATCTTGATGTAAGCCTGAAGCATCATGCACTCCACGCGATTCTGAACGCGTTTGAGAAGAGACCCTTTGAGTTCTGGCAAGGACCTGGGATTCACCAAGTTGGGGTACTTGCATGCCTGCTCAGAGTCGCCCAGAACAAACTCGGGATACGCAGGGACCGTCATGAAGGATATCCAGGGAATACTCGCTCTCTTCTTCAGCACAGCATTACAGCCAATAGACATGGCTCCCGAGAAAACGCCGTCAAACTTGTTATGCTCAATGAGGTGCACAAAATCATCAACCACGGAAAAGAAAGGCTTGCCAAGCATGGATCGGAGATTCCAGATAAGGTTGCCCCACACGAGAACGCGCTCGTGCCACTTCAAGTTCTTCGTGTCTGGAACCTTGAAAGTTTCACCTATGTACACCAGATAGGCGCCGCCCACACCATTGGGGAACCACTGATGTGCCTCGGTCGTATTGGGAAGGACAAAGGTCACGTTGTGGCCCCGTTCAACCAAGCCCTCCACTACCGGCACCACGGCCAGATGGTGACTTCTCATCAAGCCACCTGTCACCAGGATCTGCTTCGCATCGAATGCAGGTGCCTGCATGGCAACCTGAGTTTTTTTGGGGTCGGCCGTGTCTGACAGAAACTTTACGCTGGTAGTTGGCTTTGCAACCTAAATCTCCCAAAACAAAACCTGCCAAGATCAACAGAACCAGCCATACAGCACGTAGTTATTGCAGCGTGTTGTGTGCCTGTGAAGGGTTGTAATACAACCACACGTCCCTCAACGCGCAAATTGTGCCCGGAATGGTTTTTGACTGTGACATTGAAACGGCAAAACCCACGAAATCCAAGGACTCCCAAGAACAGCCTGATGATAGCACCAGCCATGGCAGCGTTCACGACGGAGCGCTTGTTGTTCCCAAGTCTGATACCCGTAAACACCCGTGTCATGCTGCGCTTGAATGCGACCTTCGTCTGACCAAAATCCTCATACGGCAATACATCCTTTCGAACCTAGGCCAACCCTCATCGACTCCTCCACTCCTAGACTTGTAGCAAGCAAAGCGGGGCGGCGACGCTTGGCCCAAACTGGCTGCAAAGACAAAAACGACGTCTTACACGTCGGGTAGGTGTCACGCCGGCGGGCTGCGACTGATTGACCAGAACAGCTCGTGGCTTCGCTTCGCCACGCCGTGTACCGGCGCGGCGTGGCGGGCCGCAACACCAGGACGCAGACAGACAATTGGGGAGGGCCTGCTAGCAACACGGAGCTTCGCTTGCAAGGCTCGGAAGGCAGGCTCATAAGCAGACTCTCTGGCAGACGACAACTGAGCGAATTGAAGGACAGGCTGGACGGAGATCTCATCGCAGAGCGCGGTGATCATGGCCTCCCGGCTGACAACATCGTACGAACTAACCAAATGTTAACGTCGCGTTTGATCGGCACCCCAGCATCAGGTTCTGCAGCTATACCCGTGTAACACCTTGGAGGCATCGGGATGTGCCTCTTTTTGAAATACGGCAATGTATACCTGAAAAAACAGACCCAGGGCTGGGAATAACTTGGCAACAAGGTCAGGCGGCACCCCTTACAAATCCATCTACGTCCCTCGTTTTCGAGCTGATGTGAATCATGAAGAGATGGCCAAAATTGGGATCCATGGTGGGGCATCGTTGCGGACGCGCCAGCGCGGCATTTCGCTGATGGTGTCAGCCCAGGATGCCCAGTACGCCGCGTGCCTGTGTGTGGCAGCCTGATGCAACCCCAATCCTCTCATGCGCAAAAGTACATGCGCTCTTCGCGCACCTCAGTGAGGGTGCAAGTAGCACGAGGTGTTGTCCTCGCCGGTCAGGAGGCGGGCAAAATGGGCAAGGCAGTGCAGCACCGCAGCGTCGTGGCTGTCCGCGATTGAAGGCCTCCGTGTCTGCCGGCGGCGCGGTGCGCAACCAACAACCCCACAGCGGGGCCGTGCACATGAGCAGCAGCAAACGCGCACTGGCTGCCTAAAAACGACGAGGCCTTGCAAGGCGCGTCCCAAATTGTTGCGCGAGCGTCCGTGCCACCAATCTGCGGAAAAGATCCCCCATGACGAGGGCGCACACGCCCCACCATACGACCCAAACGCAGGTTGTACTTTGCGGTTGAAAACGCGTTAAATTTGGAATGCTGCCGGTGAGGAGCCTGTCCACGGCATGCAGCGTCGGGACGGCGACCCAGTATGGGTTGGAGATTGGACACCCGAACAGCAAGGGCCCACCGTGCTGGGGACTCCGCTTGGCTCCGAACCATTCATCTCATATCAGCTTCACCAAGCGGTGCCCTGCCAGCCTCACAGGTGGTCACCAGCTTCGTTTCTGCGGAGGGCAGCCGGGGGGTTGCTGGGAGCGCATCCCACTGGCGCGGCGCAGCCTTGACCCGGCAGGCAAGCTGCGGAATTTGCGGCGGTGATTGCAGGCATTTGATCCAGAACCAGGCCTTGCAAGGCTTGCACCCTGCGAGTTGCAGCATGCGGTGCCCACGCCTGTGCGCCTGCAGCATCGCACCAGCATGCCCTGTGTGCTGCACGCCGGGCTGGGAGCTGGGCAGCTCGCGCGGGCCCCTCGTGCAGCGGATGGTCCAAAAAACTAAAGGGGCTGGCCAGGCATGTTGCTACCGCCGCATCGTGCTCAGCTGCATGGTCGGCCGTGCGGGCAAGGGGCAAAACCCGCAGCAAGTAGTTGGCGCGCAGCGCAGCGCGTCTTGCCCAGCCAGTGGACGCTGCGGCGCGCACTGCTGGCGGAGCTTTTGCGGGAGTTCGGGGTACGTGCAGTGCTTGCGTCGCTCCGCGACCTTCAGCGTGGCACCATCCACCGCCACGGCGCATGGAGGCGCGTTCTTGTAAGGCAGGACACCCGTGTTGAGTCGCAGCACAGCGCTCCTCCGTTGGCGGTGGCTCCGTAAACGACGAGATCAAGGTGGCGGCAGTCGTCGGCTGGGACGCCTGCTGCGGTCGTGTGGGCGAGACACTGCTGTGGCACGACCGCTCCGACGGCCTCCCAACCCAAGCGCGCTCGACGACTTTGGCACGCCTGGCCAAACAAGACTGCCCTCGGGCAAAAAAGGGCATGGTCGCCGTAAGGGTGCGAACGGCATGGCAAGCGCGAGGAGAGGCGCACATAAGCAATTTTTTTCCCCCCGCGTTCTTTTTGCGTCTGCCTGCCGCGGTCCCAGTGCAAGTTGTGTCGCCGATCTCAGGATCAGTTACGGCAGACGGCTGGCAAGGGGGGGCGCGACCGCTGGAGTAAGTGGTTCTGCGCCCGCCCGGCCAGAGAGGGCGGGGCACGAAGTGTTGCAAGGAGAGGACGGCGAGCAAGGAGACCTCCTACTGTACGCTCTCGGACAGCATGCCGCGCTTGTCGACCTCACGTATCCTGACGTTGCAAACCGTTCCTGCGGGGATCCGCGCGCCGCTTTTCCGGCTGGCCTACAACATCCTACAACTTGCTGCGGACCAGGCATGAGCTGAAGACGAATTCCGTGGTGTTTTGTGTTGCTTGCCCCTCGCATGCTTCGAACCAGGTGTTGCTCGCCTTACCCCTGACACGAGTTTCACCGCCGCGTCACGCTCTTTCAGCCTGATGGGGGGGTGACGAGGGCCGCGCGTGCTACTGCCTTCATCCACCTCAGTGAGCATACTAAATGCCCCCACACCGTCGATGCTCAGCACTGTCATCCAAGGGTCGGCTTCGGTATGTTTCGGTCGCCACCCGCGCGCGTGCTCAGCGTCCGAGCAAACACGAGGCGACGAAAAGTCAACACTGGGTCCCTCGCCCCCGCCAACTTATCCGAAGCATACCCTAGGAGCTCAGTCGTGGTTTCGTCATCCATCAATATCCTGAGGTGTTCATTGGCGCACACTGTCCGCAGACTGCTTCGGAAGTCTTCCTGTCCGCGCGCTCCGCCGGCGAAAACATTGCCATTTCGTGGAGCGTAGCCCAGTTTCCGGGTTTCCTGTCCGCTCCGCCGGCGAAAACATTGCCATTTCCCGGAGGGTAGCCCAGTTTCGGGTTTCCTGTCCGCGCGCTCCGCCGACGAAAAAATTGCCATTTCGTGGAGCGTAGCCCACTTTCCAGGTTTCCTGTCCAAACGGGGCTACGCTCCACGAAATTTTAATGCTTTCGCCGGCGGAGCGCGCGGACAGGAAACCCGGAAACTGGGCTACGCTCGACGAAATGGCAAATGTTTTTTGCGGCGGAGCGTGCGGACAGCAAACCCGGAAACTGTGCTACGCTCCACGAAATGGCAATGTTTTCGCCGGCGGAGTTACGTTCCACGAAATGGCGATGTTTTCGCCGGCGGAGCGCGCGGACAGGAAACCCGGAAACTGAGCTACGCTCCACGAAATGGTAATGTTTTCGCCGGCGGAGCGCGCGGACAGGAAACCCGGAGACTGGGTTACGCTCCACGAAATGGCAACGTTTTCGCGCGGAGCGCGCGGACAGAACACCCGGAAACTGGGCTACGCTCCACGAAATGGTAATGTTTTCGCCGGCGGAGCGCGTGGACAGGAAACCCGCAAACTGGGCTGCGCGCCACGATATGGCAATGTTTTGCGCCGGCGGAGCGCGCGGTCGCGGCTAAGCCGGCGCAACAAAAGGACCTGGAAGAGCGACGAGTCTGGGGAGAGCCCGGGCGAAGTGGGGCGTGCAGTGAAGATGCGCGCCGCGTACGCGCCAGCTTGCGAATCCAACAAGGCAGCCGAAGCGGGATCAAGCTCACGGCAAATGCCTCGATCGCCGAAGTCATCCAACTCATCCACAGCTCGGGACACGATTCGAGAGCAGAGTCATCCGGAACCTCCTCAGGTGGGGGACCGGCATGCACGAGGTCGGGGAGCCCGCAGCGGCGACCGCGCGGACCGAAAACATCAACAGATGCGCTTCGGCCAAGTAAATACGATTTTTGGCCACGATCACGCCATCATGCAAGCCTGTGAAGACCACTCTCCGGCACATCCTCACGTCGTCGCCTGGTCTGACCGCGGCGCCTTGTGCACACCCAAACCGCGGCGCACCGGCGCGCACACACGATACTCGTTCTGAGGGCGTTATCGAGGGGCCGTCCAGCTGCTGCGCGAGTTGCAGAACCTGTGGTGGTCGACGCCTGCAGCGCTGCATCGCACGCGGTCGGATGCAATTTCCGTCCTCCGCATGCGGGACGCGCCACTGGCTGACTTGCCTCCACACAGCCACGCACTTGCCACAAGACTGCGATGCCGACCCCAAAATGTTCCGTATCAGGCTGGCGTTCGCGACGGACAGCGTTGGGTCATCGAGGCATAGCCTGGTGTGCTGCGACGAACCGAATTTCATTTAAACGGCTAGCTTTGCATCATCGAGGCATCATGGCTTGGTATGTTTCGACGAAAGGAATTGGCTTCCCAAAGTTTTCTGTTCAGAATGTACTAAGCGACAAGCGAGCGCCGCTCGTTTGCGGGAGCAGTTCTTCGCGACGTCGAAGCTTCCAGGCCCTGTCCCTGTTGCGTGCGCATAGCGCATGCCGAATCTCGGCAAGCAATCCGAATGTTTCGGAGATAGTTTGGCACAGCAGAGTATCACAACTACATGACCTGATATACGTGGCAAAGGCATCATTGCATCACGAAGTGCCACAAAGAAAGTGCCCGCCGGAGAAAACTCGCCTTCTCCAAGCCTTTGGCAGCATCGCTGCCGTCGGCCTTGTCCAATATCCACCTGGGCCCGCACGCAGAGGGGCCATGTAAACCCTAAACCCTAAAACGGCCTAAAGCGACTCTAAAGCCCTGAGTGAAGATGTAGGGGTTGAGCACTGCCCGCGCACCCTCAGCTGCCAAGCGAGCAGCCACCGCAGCCCCGATGCCCTTGGCTCGCTGCCGTAGACAATTCTCACATCGAAATCATGCGCATTCTGTAGCATGCTGGGAACCTCTACTCCACATTTACACATATATATATATATATATACATGTATATATATATATACATATGTATATATAAATATATGTATATATAATATGTGTCCATAAACATACTTTTCTTTACAACTGCACCTCAAATTGACCCCTTTTTATTAAAAGCCTCTCTCATCCTATTCTAGGGGGGGGAAGAGCGGTCCGGCGCGGCGGCGCCAAAAAGACTACTTTGACTCTCTGATTTGTTGGGTGTAATATTATAAGTATATTAGGAATTATTTAGAGAATTATTACTAACTGTTCTTGTAGATATAGATAGAGAATTATTACGTATTAGAGTATGAACTAAGCCGGCAATTCTTGTAGATAGAGCACCCTGACAGGCTGAGTTCGTCCTCCCCAGTGCGCTTGGACTTTTCCTCGTGTGCAGTCGTCCGCTGTGCTTGGCCCACTCGACGCGCATGAAGCTCTCAGCAACATGCCGTCCCGTAAGTTTGCTCGGTCGCCACGGCAGGGGTTCCAGAGGGGCTCTCTGAAACCCCACCTCTGATCCCCCCCCCTCCCCGATGAGCAACCCTCCCAGAAACCCAAAGCCTGCACTTTGAGCTTCCATTTCTTCGCCCGAATGCATTGTCTTGTTGTGCTTCTGCCCTGAGTGCTGGAACTACTGGTTTTTCTCAGCCGCCTTGAGCAAGCAGAGCAGCCGCGCCTGGACGGCACCGGTCACGACGCAAACCTGCCAGATCAACTCTGATGCAAGAGGTACCCTTGGGTTCTATACAAGGGTATCTGAGAGGTATATCAGGGTTCCCCAAGTAAGGGCCCACATTGAGGGAGGTCCGCAAAACTGCTTGGCGCGGCGCCTGACCCTCGAAGCGCCGCGGAACAGCTGCGCAGGGCGAGGCCAAAACATGATGCCTCAGGTTGGCGATGGGAAGGCTTGCTGGGTGCACCAATGTCTCTACATGGGGGGTTACGACACTAGGGGTACCTTATTTCGGGTCCTGATTCTCAGAAAAGTCAATTCCGGAATTGCCCTGGAAACTGTGGTCCCTGCACCACTACGTCGGCGCGCTTTGCTTCTCCTCATGAGCGATGATGCAGCCTCTCTAACCCATACCTGTGCCTCCTGCGCACGCGGTGTCCCGCACTGCGTAAGCAAGAAACAGCACGAGGCCCGGACTGCCACTCGGCATCTTGACCAAGTCTATGGCTCTATGGTGCTCTATGCTTGTTGCAGAAACTCAGAGGTCAAGTACCCTGAAACCATTGAACGTTTTGTCTTGAACTTGAACCTGCGGCAGCTGGCAGTCATGGTGCTTGAGGGCTCTCTTTCCACGGACATTCACTGACCCATGATTCCCATGATCCCTTTTGCTTCAGTGTCTTCCCTTTTCTTCGCCTGTACTCGCAATTCCCTTTATGTCTTCCACACTGGCTGGCGGAAAGTTGAGGTGCAAGGTCGACTGCGAATGCGGCTGGCGGGCGTTCCTTTTTTCGAAGTTGCTGGCCCCACCCCTTTTTGGGAGAGGATCTCACGCGGGCTCTTCGAAAGCTTGGACGCGACGGGATGCTGGTGCTCAGCACCCTCAAGAAGGCACACAAAGGGCTGCGCTCTGAGAGCAGCATCAGACCTGGATGTTCACCCCGGTCAGCTGCCGGACGAGGCCGGCCACCACATCTTCAGGCACCCAGGCACCCCTGGGCGCGGTGAACGCGGGACTTTAGTCGCTCCAAGCCGTGGGCTTCCGGGTGTGGCCACTGGTCAGATCCCCAAGCTATTCTACCCTATAACCCATTGAAAAAGGCCCTTTACAGCGTTGATGCCGGGGATGTCTTTCATTGAAAAAATAACCCCCTGAAAAGGCCCCTTTTTGGGGTTGATCATGGGGATCACAGGGCCTAAACCCGAAACCCTGAACCAGAAGCCCAAGTTCGGGCTGCCGGGGCACGGAATTGCCGAGACCTTGGCGCGCAGCTCCTCGAGGAGTCCTGGTTTGGTTTTGGTTCGGCTCTTTTCTGCATCAGGGTTGAGGGTTGAGGGTTTAGGGTTGAGGGTTGAGGGTTTCAGACTCTCAGTCACACTAGGTGAACTCGAAAGGCCGCTTCACTTCGAGCTCTTATGGCCTCACGGCCGCCCTTTAGCCTTTGCCGACTCGGGGTGGGTGCTGCTGACTTTGTGCGCCCCCGGACCACAGAATTCAGGTACCATCGGTTTACACAACCCCAACTGACTCTCCAAAACTCTCTCTCTCTCTCTCTCCCCCCCCTCTCTCGGTTGTCCTTCTTCTTCTGATGGCTTCCTATCTTTCGTCCTGGCTCTCTCACTCTGTCCCTCCCTCTCTCTCCCTCTCTCTTGGCTCTCGTGCCGGCCTTCAGGCCAGGGTGCCCGTTCACCAGCCGACAGCGCACCGGGCTGCAGCTGCTGCTGCTGCCTGATGGAATGAACCCAAAACCCTGCAGAAAACCCACAACCCACAGAAACCCCTAACCCCGAAGCAAGGAATGAACGAATGAAAGAATCAGGCTCAAGCAAGGCTGCATGTCTTTCACCCGACGGCTCCTGCCGGGGTGGGGGGTAACTCCGTAAAAGGAACCGCCCTTCTCGAATCCGTGATCGTTGGCACCTCATGGTCTCCCTGAGGATGGGGACGCAGACCTGAGCTCTGATGGCTATCAGGGTGCTCCGTGTCATGGCCTGTTTCATGTTGTAACGAGCATCATCTGTGTGATGCTGCTATACTAAGTATCATATCATGATGGGGCCTTGAGGTGTCAAAACTTCTACTCATCAGAAGAAGTTGGGATGCTCCCCCGGATACTAACAGTCCTTCATCGGGTAATCCCGATTCAGCACTGTTTGTATGAAGGGGAACATCCCAACCTGCAGCTTATAAACCGTAAACCCTAAACCCTAAACCCCAAACCCATTCAGGAGAGAGGCCAAATAAGAAAGGATGCTGATAAGTGAGAACAAGCGCCGCCGAGCCGCACGCCCGTTCGGGAGGAAGGACACGAGGAGGAGCCAGGCTCGGTAGACGCCGTCCTTGAGGAGAGAAGCCCTTCGAAGCACCACCCCAAAAACCACCCCCAATCTTCTTTCCTTGCTAGCTTGGGTCTCCTACAAGCCCTCAAAAGGGCTCTGCTCTAGAGGGATCCCACGGGAATCTCTTGGGAGAATGCCACAATGGTATAATGGCATAAATGGTCAGTTAATGGCATACATGCTATCATGGTATACATGGTAGAAACGGTATAAATGGAATAAATGGTATAAATGCTATAACTGCTAGAAAATGGTCGAAACAGTAAACATGGTGTACAGGCTCTTTTCAAATCGTAGAAATGGCCTAAATGGTAGACATGGGTATACTTGGCAGAAATGGCATACGTAAGCGGTATAAATGCAAAGACCTGGACTCCGTGCGGAAAGGCCACGGGAAGCCCACGGAGGTGCAGCGGCGTCGGCCGACGGAAGAAGCCTGAGGTATAACAGTGGAATAGGAAAAAAGTACACTTAGTATAATAGTATATTAGTAGAATTGTATCGTAGTATAACATTATAAGAATATAATAGTAAAATACTATAAAAGATGTAGTAATGCAATCGTATCATCGTATCATGGTATCGTATATTCGTACAATCGTACGATAGTATCTCATAGTAATATAATAGCACAAAAAAATGGCATAATGGTCTAATGGTCTAATGGTACTATGGTATTATGGTATCATAATACATTGAGCCAGAGGAGACCAACATTCCATTCGAGGGTTCTGGCCTTCTGAACACTAGCTCTGCGGGCTGTAGGCGTGCAGGAGCTTTACATGGGAGTCCCAAAAGGACGTTTCACACCTGCCAGGCTTTTTTTCGCAACCGCAGGCCCCAAACCAAAATCCTCACGGCGTCTCTACCAAAACATGCAAAGCCTGAACTCGAGACCTATGAACTTAGGATTCCCAGGCAGGTAGGGTGGGTTCAGGGTTTAGGGTTTTTTTAGAGCTTGGTTAGAAAGACCGAAGAGAAAAAATCCGCTTGACCAGGGGCGGTCTAAACATCCTGGGGGTCCAAGCATAACACCGAGCCGAACATTTAGGGCACCCCCAAGGCAGGGCCACATCCCTAAACCCTAAACCCTAAACCCTAAACCTCCAGAGACGTGCGCTGATGGTGCCCTCCAGGAAACTCTCCGCCCAGCGCGCGGCCCTGGGCCGAGCCCAGACGCAGCGCACCGCAGGCTGCCGGAGGAGGGTGTCCTCGCTCTTTCAGTCGGGCGTGGGGCTGAAGGGTTTAGGGTTTAGGGTATAGGGTTTAGGGTTTAGGGTTTAGGGTTTTCTCCCACTCCTCATCCGCCAGCGCAGCAAGCAGGAGCTGCCAAAGATGCCTAGTCTTCCCCAGGCTTCGTCCAACCACAACAATCACCACAACCTGCCTAACAGAGGGGCCTACTTCAGTAGAACGGGCGCTGTTTTGGGCAGCATATTTTTTGGAAGTATACCTGGGATGATGAGAAGGCGTGGTATCTGCAAAAGGTGCAAAAGCCGTCGAATCGCTTCCCAAGCGCTCGTCGCGGGGGTAGTTCTCGAGTAGCCCCGCCAGGCACTCGAGCTGCGCCTTACAGGGTTCAGGCTTTGCGAAGTTTAGGGCTTAGGAGACAATAAGCACCCTGGTTGGGTGGCCCCAAAAGGGTTTTGGAGGGTTAAGGTTTAGGAGGGCTGGGGTTTAGGGCTTTGGGGATGAGAACGCTTCAGTTCGCGTCGTCAGTCCCAAGCTCTCAAGACAGAGCTGCGCGGAACCTCTCTAGGCGGGCATGGGCATGGTGGTAATCCGAAACTCAGCCCCAAGCACTAAGAACCCTACACCCCAAACCCCAAACCCTGAACCCTAAACCTTGAACCCTTAAACCCTAAACCCTAAACTCTAAGTCCTATAAGGTTCGGCCCCAGGCCTCCAATCTCAGGAAGGGCTCAGCTCGGCCCGGCGCCGCCTGGACCTCGTGCGATTTTTGGGGTTAAGGGTTAAGGTTTAGGGTTTAGGGTTTAGGGTTTAGGGTTTAGGGTTTAGCGTTTCGGACTACAGAAGCCCGTCAGTCTCCATGAAGGGGGGTTTTGGTTTGGGGCTGAGGATTCAGGGTGTCCATGCGGGCGGAATTCATATCCAACCCACCACTGCCACCGACCTTCGGCAACGTGCCTCACAAGATTTCTACCACCTGATTCCTTCAAGGACAACCCTGGGGTATAGGGTGTGTTAAGAAGCCGAAACAAGGCTACCTCCAGGGTTGGACGAGAACCCCGAGTCGAAACACCCTTACAAACCCCCCCTCTTTCTCTTGGCCGCGAGGCGAGGCTTCTCGAGAGATCGACGCGGATCGCTTGGGCAGGCTGCCTCTTGGGCTTCGGGAATGTCAGGCAGCCATGGCTGGTAGCTTATTTAAGGCTTATCTTGCTTTCGAGGTTGATTTGAGGCTTTCGAGGTCGATTGGAGTCAGACAAAACCCTGTGTTCGTCGAACGTTGCGGACTATGCTTGGTGTCGATTTGCGAGGATTTAGCACCCCGACAACTGGATCTACATAATTGGTTTTGCCCGATGCTCATTTCGGGCTTCGGGGGAGGCTATGGTGCTTGAAGCGCTTCGGGGATCAGGTCCCGCCATCCCTTGGAGAAGAGGCTGAGCCACTTGGGTTAAGGGTTTTCGTTGAGGCTTTGGGTTTGGAGGTTTCAGGGCTTAAAGGCTTTTGGGGCCTTTGGGCTCTTGTTTTGGGGTCTTTGGGCTTTTGAGGCCGCCTGCGTGCTGGCATCAGCTTCACGAAGAGGTGCAAGGGCCCTTGGAAGCCAAGGCTATGGCTCGGTGGTCGCATGGTGGGGGGTTTCGGGTTTAGGGTGCCTCTCATATTTGTTTAGGCCCTTGTGTTAGGGCACCCCCAAAGGGAGGCGCTGTTGAAACGAGCCCAGATAGACGACATGAAGCCTGCGCCCGCGTCTCCTTCCGAACCATTCTAATTATGGAAGCTGGGTGGCCTAGCAGGGCACCCAGCAGCAGCAGCAGCAGCAGCAGCTTGAGCAAACAGCGAAAGGAACTGGAAGATGGAGCCTCCCTTTTCAGAACACACTCTTGGTACGAGAAAGTCAATCGTACACGTGCTACCTGTGAAGGGGCGCCCGATTTATAACGATCCCCTCCAGTAAGTCAGCAAGATGCCGGGATAGCTGAAAGCTGACTTGCAACCTACAGCCTACTGGCTCTTGGCCGGGTTAAGGGCCCTGAAGGGCCTCATCTGCAAGTTCGCTACCGAGCCCTATGCAGAACCAGCTGGTGAAAGGCTCACATTGCTATGCGCAATCCAGGAACTCGAAACCGTAAACCCCTGAACCCTCAACCCCTGAATCCCCCCTAAAAACAAACCCCGAAGTCTCCTAAGCCCCCAAAGCCCCTAAAGCCCCTAAAACCCCTAAAGCCCCTAAAGCCCCTAAAGCCACTAAAGCCCCTAAAGCCCCTAAAGCCCCTAAAGCCCCCAAAGCCCCGAAAGCCCCTAAAGCCACTCAGCCCCTAAAGAGGGCGCATTTTGGGGCGAGCTGCCATCGACCGGCTCTGGGCCGCAGGGGAGCCTGCAGTCGCTTTAAGTTTGGCGCCCAAGGTTTGGGGGTTTAGGGTTTAGGTTGAGGGTTGAGGGTTGAGGGTTGAGGGTTGAGGGTTGAGGGTTGAGGGTTGAGGGTTGAGGGTTGAGGGTTGAGGGTTGAGGGTTGAGGGTTGAGGGATGAGGGTTGAGGGTTGAGGGTTGAGGGTTGAGGGTTCAGAACAAGTAACAAGAGTAATAAACATGGAAACAACATCATAGTTGCAATGATAGCAGCAACGGCAATGGCAACAGCAACAGCAACAGCAATAGCAGTATCCAATGACAGTCATCATGGCAATCATCATAGCAGTAGTAAACCTACTAGTAGGACTAATACGAATGGCAAGCGGAACTCGTCTCCCGACTCCCTACCAGTCGAACATCCCGCCGCACGAAGAAGCGGGATTCCCCCAAACCCTAAACCACAAACCCTAAACCCCAAACCCTAAACCCCAAACCCGAAACCCCAAACCCTAGCCACCAGTCATTCACTGATGCCCTGATGGCCGATTCGAACACCTAGGGTTGCGGGTTTGGGGTCTAGGGGACACCGTGCAAGTGCTGCAAAAGCTAGAAGCTAGAAACGCAACTTGAAGAAAGGAAACAAGGGCAGTCGGGACCCCGAACTCTCAACCCTAAGCCTAAGCCCTACAAACCCTGGAGAGAAGGTGAGGGTGGGGGCGGGGGGGGGGACGAAAGGCTGCCCAGCAGCCGGAAGATGCACGGGAGGAGCTGGCAGACGTCCTGAGAGTTTGGAATGTTTAGGAGGGCTTCTGCGGCATATTACGTACTCTTCGATCTCACTATATTTATTTGCATATGCATATATATATACTACTATTTTCAGATATAACGATTAGAGACCCAATTATGAGAGTAAAAAATCTTTTAAATGACTATGCTTACGTGTATGTTTATATATATATATATATATACTTGTATGATTAAACAGTATGTTTTTGTTGTAGTGGTCTGTTGAAGAAGCAAAAGGACTGGGTTGATCCGCAGTGGAAGCAGGCCGAGTTGAGAGTCTGGGGTGTCACTCCCTCTTGCTCCCAGCAGAATATACCTCTTTTTTAGGCAACGCAAGAGTGGCGGCAAGAAAGGGCTGCAGTGACCTATCATCAAAGGTTCTCAAGCCAATGATGCCGGTCCCAGAAACAGAAAGCTGGGGAATACTCGAGTCAAGCGGCGGAAGCAAGTCGTTGTCGCAACCTCACCTTGTGCAGTGACGGCGAAAGGTGGGGTAAGTTCGTCTGGGCCACCTGAACATGTGGAGGGTTCAACACTGTAGGGTGCCTTGATAGATAGAACCCCTCCTCCACCGGGTGCCTCAAATTTCAATACGGCAAGCCCCCCCCCCCCCCCACATGCGCGAAAGCCGAGGCACCTCCCCTGGTTCAAGCTTCTCCCAGAGATGCAACGCCAGGTATGCCAGCATGGTGCGCAGCTGCACCTCTGTGGATAGGGATACGCAACCACCCACCACTGGAGCTGTAACCCCTTCATTCTCGGGGCATGGATGGCCGAGGGGTCTAAGATCCCTTCCAAAGCCAAGCATGAACTTCGCGTCCGCAGCGTGCCCAAGTGATAGGGTCGCGGGGCCTTTCTTGGGCAATGAGCAAGGCCCAATGTCTCCGAAGGGTTCTGCGGCAAGCTGGAGGGAACTTTAAAAGTTTAAAGGGTCATGATAAGCATATAATACTGATATACTACCAATATACTACGAATATACTACGAATATACTACTAATATACTACTAATATACTACGAACATACTACCAAGAAACTAAAAAAATATACTACGAATATGCTACCAAAATTTTTCCCTTTGGAGTAGATATGTCTTGAAGCCAAGTGATGCCCCCACAACCCATCGGGTACCTGCAGGCCATCCAGGCCGAAGCCCACGAGGAGCTCGTAGGTCGCCCAGCTGTGGCCCAGGACCTGTCATGGGCTTGGAGGGTTTAGGGTTTAGGGTTTAGGGTTTAGGGTTTAGGGTTTAGGGTTCTGGGTTCTGGGTTCTGGGTTCTGGGTTCTGGGTTCTGGGTTCTGGGTTCTGGGTTCTGGGTTCTTGGTTTGGGGTTTAGGGTCGAGGGTTTGGGGCTTCTGGCTTGTGGATGACCTTCTGATGTACCCACGCTTTGCTTCGGCTGCTCCCCAGAATTCCCGAACTGGACCCTAAACCCTAAACCCTAAACACACTAAACCCTAAACCCTATACCCTAAACCCTAAACCCCACTAAACCCTAATCCCTAAACACACTAAACCCTAAACACTAAACCCACTAAACCCTAAACACTAAACCCTAAACCCTAAACCTAAACCCTAAACCCTAAACCCTAAACCCTAAACCCTAAACCCTAAACCCTAAACCCCCTCACCTCCGGCAGCTGGAGGAGGTCTTCCAGGGCCAGGCCGCCGATGCCAGGCATGGCGGAGAGCAGCCTACACTGCTTAGGGGCTGAAGGGCTATAGGGTTTAGGGTTTAGGGTTTAGGGTTTAGGGTTTAGGGTTTAGGGTTTAGGGTCTAGGGCTTAGGGTCTAGGGTTTAGGGCCTTTTTCTTAGGGTTGAGGCTCCAGGGTTCGGGGAGGGGCGGAAGATTTGGGGCTTCTAAAACTTGTTCCAGTTTAGGGTCCTGGTTGTTGGGTTGTCTGCTTCTATTTTGCTTTGAGTTGGCTCTTTGTTGGGGCGGAGGGAGGGGGGAGGTCGAAAAGTCACCTACCAGAAAAACCCTATTCTAGCGCAACCCCCCTGATGGGTGCATTCTTGTCGGGTTTGCTCTTTCCTTGTGAGGCAGTTCTCTACATTAGGGTTCCTTTTTACGGTTCTTGTCTTTAGGGTGCCGTAATTCGTAGATGGACAACCCTAGTTTAGATAACAATTTTCCCAAAAAAAGAAGAAACTGGGAGGACACCTCCCCGCCTCCAAGCCAGCTCCCGGAACTCTTGGGGCGGAGGCCGCGCTCGGAGAAGGGCCGGGAGGAGAACGCCTGGGGGGATTTATTTGTTGGGGGCGGTTTAGGGTTGAGGGGCTGGGGCGGTTTAGGGTCACAAGAGAGTAGTCTAGGGGTCGGAAGAATTCAGAATATTCCTTTACACTCTGGGTTTGCGGCTTCTGCGAACCCCTAGAGGGTCCAGGAGCCCTGGCCTGATGAACGCGCAAGGGTTCTGCAGAAGTTCGGGCAAGCCGAGGGCCGAGAGATACACAGGGTGAGAGGTAGGGTTTAGGGTTTAGGGTTTAGGGTTTAGGGTTTAGGGTTTAGGGTTTAGGGTTTAGGGTTTAGGGTTTAGGGTTTAGGGTTTAGGGTTTAGGGTTTAAGGTTTAAGGTTTTCGGTTTGGCGTTTAGGGTTTAGGGCTTAGGGTTTAGGGTTTAGGGTTTAGGGTTTAGGGTTTAGGGTTTAGGGTTTAGGGTTTAGGGTTTAGGGTTTAGGGTTTAGGGTTTCGGGTTTAGGGTTGAGGGTTTAGGGTTTAGGGTTTAGGGCTTAGGGTTCAGGGTTTAGGGGAGGGAGGAGGGGGGTTTTGAGAGTCTTCTTGGGCGAGCTACATAGGGGACCCCTGATATACCCTATACAACCCAAAGGGCCCATACTTCAGAACCTTTAAAGAAGGTAAGGGACCGTCTTAAGGGCCCATGAAGCTACCCCAAGAAGTCTGGGTCTTAATGAGGGTCTTGTGGGGGTTGAGGGTTTAGGGTTTGGGGGCTTCTCAAGAGACCCCCCCCCCCCAATTGAAGCAACGCCGCCGCCACTGCAAAGACACTCCTCCTTGGTGAATAGCCGCTCGGAGATGATTCCTGTCAAGTATGGCTGTGGTTGGATACTCCACCTCCCTACAACTCTTCGTGTTCTTCTAACCTTCACGCCTTGAGCGATCAGGAACAACAGTAGGTAGATGATATCATCATGAAGTGCGAGTTCAAATAGACGCTAGAAACCTACTTGGAGGTTCATGGGTACTTATAACCCCACTTATGTGTCCGCTTATAGCCCACTTGGAGGACTTAGAGGACTTGAGGGGCTTAAGTACAGTTATCATTCAGGTTATAGATACCCTGAACCTCCAAGTATATTCCCTCAATCTCACAAGAAGCAACTGCGTGGTGCGCCTGGCTTCTGCTCAATCAGGCGGGCATACGTCCACCAGGCAAACAGCCTTCTGGTGGCGTAGCCCTTGCGAAAGCCTCGGGCGGAAAGACTTGACGGGCACTACGACCCTAACCTTCCTCTGCAGGCGCCCACGCTCTCGCCCTGCGATCGCGCATGTCCGCGCCGCATGCGAATGCTTTCCTTTGCCTGGCTCCGGCGCGAATAAGGGAGAACTAATCACTTTGAAACTGGCCCGACACCCCAAATCCCAGATCCTAAACCCCTGAACCCCTTAACCCCTAAACCCCTAAACGCCCAAACCCACGAAGCCTGTAGCTCGGCTCTGCTGCCGCGAGGCTGCCCAGCTGGACGCGAACTTTGCGCTCTGCTGGACGCCGAAGCGCCTTGCCTTGCAAAAGCTCAGGCCCTACAAAGAAGACAAGGCTTAGGCCTGAGGGTTTTGCGTTTAGGGTTTAAGGTTCAGGGTTTAGGGTTTGAGGGTTTAGGGTTTGAATTTCGGGTTTCGGGTTCGCTTGTTCCGGCAGTTCCCAGAGATGCCACGGCTTCCCCCCCAAAGCCACTGCGATGGCAATGACACATTGGGGTTTACGGTTTGGGGTTTGGGGTTTGGGGTTTGGAGTTTGGGGTTTGGGTTTAGTGTTCTTTAGTAGTAGGTGTAGGATGACTGGGCTGTCGTTAAGGCGGTGCAATTAATCTAGTAGCTTTGTTATGGTGACTTTGCTTAAGTTCCTAACGCTCCGACTTTCCAGCACCATCCATATACCATATCATCATGCGCTCTTCGTGTACCATATGCGTACAGTAGATCGTAGATAATGCTTTCACGTACCAGAATGCATACACCGTAGTGCTATGATAGTAGGATCTGCCGATAGTAATGACCCCCAATAAGGTACCCCTAATAATGTCACTGCCAAAGGTCGCGCCGGGATCTTCTTCCCGAAGAGATTGACTTTGATCTCTTCAGCTTCTTTGGCTCTCCTGACTTGGAACGGCCGTAGTAGCGCGTTAGGGCTTGGGGCTGAGGATTTGGGGGGTTCACTCCTTCCCCCTGCACAGTGGTGAGTTCGGAACCAGGGTCGGCCCACAATTTTCCCAACATCGCCTCTCTAGCTGCTTCTTATTGCTTGTACAAACGAACATCTACAGAAGGGCAACAAGAAGCACAGGGTTGCTTCCATGGCTTGCGCAAGAGGGCTGCAGCAACTGCAGAAAACTGCAGAACTTGAACGGGTCTCCTCGACTTTATGTTGGAGTTGGATGGGAATGGCAGCTTGTCCGCGAGCTCGTAAAGCTCTTTCAGGAAGGCCTGAAGCTGCGGTTTAAAGCCCTGAAGGCCCGAAGCTGCACCCTAGACCTTGCACCTTAAAAACCACCCAAAGCCCTAAGCCCCAAACCCCGAAACCCGAAACCCGAAGCCCTAAACCCTCCCAAACCTGAAGGTCCTGGAACCCCCAACGCCGGCGAGGGCCTCAAAGGCCTCCGGGTTGAGCGCCAGGCTCGGCGTGGTGGTCAGCCACCTCGGCTAAAAACACAGAATTCGGGCTTTTTGGGGTTTTTTGGGATTCAGGGGTCTTAGGGCGTTTTGGGGGTGTGAGTGGTTCAGGGCTTTTTCAGCGTTTCACGAATTTCAGGGTTTCAGGGTTTCGGGGTTGAGTGTGCAGAGGTTCATCCGGATCATTCTGGGCCCCACGCAGGACAAAGCCGAAAGCCGGGTGCCGCGACGTTCATCAAGTTTTGTAAAGTCTCCGGGCACCCCGGCGCAAGCTGCACGGCCAGCTTCGACAGCCGGCTCCGGGTTGCCCTCTGCTCTGACCAGATGGCCTCTTTTTTGGGGGGGGGGGGGGGTTTTGGGGGGCTTTACGAGACCGCACGAGTTACGAGCGCGGCGCTTGCTTTGAGAAGTCCAGCCTCCTAATGCTCCCTGGAAGGAAGGTGCCCCCTGTCAAAGAGAATGCGCGCACGCTTTCTTTACGGATCGCTCATCATCATCGTTTGTATTCATCATTTCAGTAATAATTAGTAATTATCTTTCTTTTCTTTGACAGGACTTTATTGCTGGAGATTGGCAGTTCCTTTTTATTGTGGGCAATGGCAAAATCGTTCAGGGTGGCAAAAATGGGTGAACACCCAAGGCTTCTTTACCGTTACCGCCGTAAAGCACCCCAAACTTCAAACCCAACAACCCAAACCCCAAACCCCGGCGCGAAGCATCCCGACGTCCTTCCTGCCTCGACTCCTTCACGCAGGTGGGTGAAGAACCTGAAAGCGTGGAGGTTAGGGTTCAGGGCTTAGGGTTGCTTGCCCCCCTCCCCCTTGAATATACCACGCCCCTCAAGGGCCTCCTACAAGTACTAGAATGTAGGCGGGGGAGAGCTTTGAAAGGCCTTCAAGGGACCGAGGAAGAAAAAAAAGTGCAAGGCCCTGCCCAGCAACTGTGCATCCACCTTGAGCGTCTGCCCCGCCCAGGTCCAAGCGTTTGCCATGTACCTGAACTCTGCTGGGTTGGGCTTTCAACCCTTTGAAAAGTATCATTTGAATAGGTTGCCCTGTGAAACATAGGGTCGGTTCCCTTGTAAGCCCTTTGAAGTAATTTAAGAACAGTCCCCTTATGAGGAAAGAAGAAAAACTTGAAAGACAAAACCCAAAGCACAACCCAGTTTCTAACAACGGCCCGAATCGCCCCTTTCAAAAACCATCGAGCAAGGGTTACCACTTACCGTGGTCCTGGGCTTCAAGACATCCTATAAGGGTCCGACTATGAAAACAAATTGGAAATTAAATTCGCCTTAAGCCTTGGGCTTGTTGGGGTTCAGGGTTTTTAATGCATCCTTTTCCTGAGGAGGGGGCTCCAGGTTCCAGGTCCCGCCGGCAACCCTGAGCCCCTGCAATCCACCATGATCCCCTGCAGAACCACACAGACCCTAGAAGCCCAAACACCTGACACCTGACCCCTAAACCCTAGACCCTAAACCCGATTAAACCCGAGTAACCCCGTGAGCCCCATAAACCCCCTCAACCTGCGCCCCAAGTACCGAAAAGACTTACAACCCCTTCTTTGCCCAACCCTCAACCCTAACAACTTAAAACCCGTCAGCTCAGGTGCAGCAAGTGGTTCACGCTCCGCACCTGGTTTGGGGTTTGGGTTTAAAGGGTTTAGGGTTTAGATTGCAGGCATTTAGGGTTCAGGGGCGTGAGGCCCCTCGACGTGCTGATGGAAGCTGCTGGGAATGCAGGCCCCCACCTCTCAAGGCCTCGAGAACCCGACTGCTCAGAGTCCTTCGACATGAACTCATGTTGCGGCCAGTTCTCTTAGTTGTGGGCACTGCGTTGGTTGCAAGTATGATAACAGGCACCCCTAAGTGCCATCATGTTTTGGAGTCCCTTCACGACCCTTAAGTTAAACCCTTAGAACCCAAAAGGTTCAACCCTTCACCCCTTCAACCCTGTAATAGAGACCCCTAAAGACCCTCAAAATCCCCAAGCCTCGAACACCCCAGGCTAGAAGCCGTAAACCCCAACAAAAAACTTCGGCCTTACCGGCAGCCGGCCCCCTTCCATGCCGACTCTCCTGTGGGCGCCGGGGCGGGGGGGCCACGCAGGGGGAGCTTAGTGTCCAGGGTGTAGGAAATTTCGGGTGTAGGCTATAGGTTATGCCCCCTTCATCTCGACAGGTGTTGCGAAGCTCGTACGTTACGGAAGGGCGTGCGCGTGAAACGAGCTGGATGCAGAACCTCCGAAACAAGGGCACGACAGATTCAACATGAGAGGACTTGTCACTGCATTTGCTTCGCGCCTCAAAGTGCCCCAACATCCTTCAAGAAGCTTCGGATCCGATTATCCGGCCAACGTCTTGTCACAGAAGGGCCCTGAAGGGCCCCCAAGGGTTCAGGGTTTAGGGTTTGGGGTTTAGGGTTTAGGGTTTAGGGTTTAGGGTCTAGGGGTTAGGGTTTAGGGTTTAGGGTTTAGGGTTTAGGGTTTGGGGTTTAGGGTTTAGGGTTTGGGTACTTCACAGAAAGGGCAGACGCCAAGGCACCACGGCGCGGAGGAGCCCGGAGCTTCCGTCCAAGCGATCGGGGCCTTCCAGCAGGGACCTTGCCAAACGGGTTTAGGGCTGAGGGTTTTAGGGTTTTGGGTTTAGGGTTTAGGGTTTGGGGTTTGGGGTTTTAGGGTTTTAGGGTTTTGGGTTCTGCACCTTTCCCAAAATCAGGTTCCCCCCCCCCCCCCCCAGCGTCCTGATTACAGGGTTTCCGAAAATCAGGGTCCCCCGTTGTATCCTGACTACAGGAATTACCGGATCCCCGCACTTGGAAACGGCCCCCCCCTCTCATGTTCGGAAATCCCCTCGGCCCCGGAACTTCTGGGGGCACAATATCAGCAACACTCTTTGCGGAAAACCTTTCGATAAGCCTCATACAGGCCCCAATATGTCCATCAAACATACAAACTACCCAAACTACTTACCTATGCTGCACTACACCTAATAAACTCTGGACTCTTAACCCCTAACCCTTAACCTTGAACCCCCAACCCCCAACCCTTAACCCTTAACCCTAAACCCTAAACCCTAAACCCTAAACCCTAAACCCTAAACCCTAAACCCTAAACCCTAAACCCTAAACCCTAAACCCTAAACCCTAAACCCTAAACCCTACCAAACCCCCCCCCCCGCCCCTACAACTGCATGAAGTTCCATGTCACCCAAGCTTGCCGAGTCGCCCCAGGACGGGATCCCAGGCCAGGGCTGGCGGCACCCGCGTCTCTTCAGGCCGTCGGCCTTCAGGGTTTAGGGTTTAGGGTTTAGGGTTTAGGGTTTAGGGTTTAGGGTTTAGGGTTTGGGGTTTAGGGTGGAGCACTTCGGTTTACGTAGTTGTTAGGTTGTCGGGTTGTTGGGTTGTTGGGTTGTTGGGTTGTCGGGTTGTCGGGTTGTCGGGTTGTCGGGTTGTCGGGTTGTCGGGTTGTCGGGTTGTTGGGGGCTTGGGGCTTTAGGGTTTGGGGCTTCGGGCTTTAGGGTTTGGGGATTGGGCTTGTTAGGTTGTTGGGGTTTGGGTCTTGGGGCTTGGGTCTTGGGGCTTGGGTCTTGGGCTTGGGTCTTGGGGCTTTGGGATTAGGGTTTGGGGCTTGGGGCTCGGGGCTTGAGGTTTGGGGTTTGGGGTTTGGGACTCAAGGTCAGAGCTCGCAACATCTGCTCATGCTTCTATGAGATTTGGACGGTCATGCTTCCTGTTGCACGCAGCCGAGCTACGATACAACAATGAGAAAATGCCAACAATCAGCATCATCACCACCACCACCATCATCATCATCAGTGAATCATAGCAGCAGGCTCTACCATCAACACAAGCATTCGTGTAAAAGGATGCAAAAGAGGAATACTAGTAGTAATGGCAACAAAAACGACGACGATGATGATGAGGATGAGGACTATGACGATGACAATGTTACTGACAATGACAATCACAACGACAACGGCACAATCGCGCTCACACTGAGAATGGCAGTGGCAATGACAATGGCATTGGCCATGCTAACTACTCATCATGGCCACAGCCCCACAGCAACAAACAAGAACAGCGCAAAAGCTAACAATGACCACAACAATATTCATCACATTAATCGCAGTAAGTGCCTCGATGAACGTGTCGCCACATGCCGCAGCTGCAGAGGCGAAAGGTCTCGCCTCGCATCCTCAAGAGGCCGACAACACAGAATCGGAGCTTCCTGGGGTGGTGCGGAACATGCTGGAAGCTGAAGAGGTTAGGGTTTGAGGGGCTTTGAGGGGGGGGTGAAGGGGGGGTGGGGGGGGGGGGGAGGGGGGAGGGGGGGGGGGGGGGGGGGGAGGGGGAGGGGGGGGGAGGAGCACATCCACTCAGCCTGGCTGTCAGTGGAGCAAGGCCCTCCCTCAGTCACCCAAAGCAAACAAGGAGGGGCTCCACAAATTGAGATCCCTGATTGTTGTTCCGACGAGATGTAGGGTCTTGTGCAAGGATTGCAGACTTCGGCGTTCTCAGACACCAAATTCAAGAATCGGCTCCTTATGCTCAGGGTGCCCATCTTGTATCGGTTGGGTTGGTAGGTTTTGGGTTTTAGAGGGGGCTCAGAGTGCCCATCTTTTCGAGTTGTTAGGTTCTGGGTTTCAGTGGGGTTTGTAGCGTCTCAGCTTCCGACTTTTGTCAGTTCTGAAGCCCCTTCGAGTGCACATGCATGGGCTTTCGCGTGTGAGAAAGGACAGCGACAATTTGGGGTTTAGGGCTTGCGAGGCAGGGTTTAGGGTTGAGGGTTCAAAAAGGGCCCACAAATGGAGAAAATTCGCCCTGTTCTTCCGAGAATCTTGGGAATCTCGCACTGGGCGCGAACCTCTGCCTGTCACGGCATGCATCTATGGCACGTAAGAGCAATCTATCTTACCCTATACCCTAATGCCTGCACCCGAAGCTTGAGGCCCGTTAAGAGGACCCCCAAAGCCGTAATTTGCCCCCATGTGCACTGTGAGTCACGAAAGTGTCGAGAATGACCAGTCCAGTCAGATGCACGGCCGTGGACACCAGGTTGCAGGGCTGATGTAAAACCATGTCTGCTTCGAAACTCTCTCCGACTCGGCTTCATAAGACAGAAGGATCCGGGGGAGGTGCGTAGGCTCAATTCCGAAAGTCGAAGTCTTCCAAGATGTCAGCCACAAGCAAGCTGGCGCCGACAGATTACGGCACGACACTAGGGCTTCAGAAGAGTGTAGAAGACAGCCGCTGGGGGCCAGCCAGGAAATGGAGGTTCCGAAATTCGGGGTACCTTCTTGGGGTCCTTATTATAAAGGGCATCCTACTTTTTGGAGTCTACTTAGGGGTCCCCTGTTTTTCGTAAACCCCCACATTTCAACGGGCAGCCGACTCTCAACCCTTGTCCGCCCAGGCACCGGCGGCCGTAGGTCCAGGCCCAAGGCGTCATCGGGCGCGGCTTCCGCCTGCGCAAGACTTCCGACGAGCATCGGCAGCCCGCAAAACTGTGCCGAAGCTTCCATGACCTACAGCGCGCTCTCGCGGGGGGGGGGGGGGGGGGGGGCCATGGGGCACCATGTTTGGGAACCCTAAACCCTAACCCCTATAACCCGAAACCCTAAAACTCTACAAACCCGAAACCCTATAAACCCCATAATCCCCTATCCCCTACAGGGATGTCTAGCATCTAAAAAGCCCAATTACTTGGAGGTTCATGGCACTTATTAACCAATTATAACTGTACTTAGAACTGCACTTATAAGCATATTGGGGCACTTAAGGGGCTTAGAAGTGGGTTAGAAGTACAGATATAACTGGTTGGTGGGTACCCCTAAACCCTGAACCCTAAACCCCAAACCCTACAGGTATAGGCTTTAATTGGTGAATAAGTACCATGAACCTCCAAGTAGACGTCCGGAGCTGCGCCTTGCGCGGGGGCTGGTGGCGCAGCTCCAGGAGGAGGCGGCAGAGCTCCTTTTGAGAAGTATTTGAGGGTCTGGGGGTTTAGGGTTTGGGATTTAGGGTTTAGGGTTGAGGGTTTGGGGTTTGGGGTTTAGGGTTTAGGGGTTCTTAGTATAGGTTTGCTTCGGGGGCTTGCAGAGGGAATAGGGAGGGTTTCTTGTTCGGGATATGAAGGGCTTGAAGAGGGCGTTGGGGATGCTTTGTGACGGTTTGGGCTTCTGTGACACTGTGAGTGCAGGGGGTTAGGGATTAGGGTGACCCTACCTGGCAAAGACCGAGTCGGGGTCTACGATGCTACGAATCTGGAGCCTTGGAAACACAAGGTCCACGGAATGTCAGGTCCGACACGCCCAGAAAACACAGGGCTCCCTGAAACAGGCATCGCGAAGTCAACCAGAGCAACTCCCAAGAAGAAGCACCATCACACCATCACAAAGAATGCATAGCCCCTTAGAGCACATCACGACGAAGACTGCACAAACGATCCCAAGGTAAAAGAGCGCGCTACGCACGGCCACGGCTCCCGCGCGCGGTCTCGGATCCCTCCGGCATCTCTGCGAAAGGAGTTCCGAACTTGTCGCCTCCGCCTTGGCTTCAGGATTGGATACTTAAGGGATCTGCGAGATAGGGTCCCTATAGATCCCATTGAAGGGTGACGCAGGGGGAATAGAAGGTGCGAGTTCCCTACTGGGAGTGAGGAAAAGGCTCAAGCACCAGAACCTCCCATGGCCAAGCGTCTCGGCCGGTCGGTTGACAGGCCTCTGGAGCTCCACGATATTGATGGCGGGAAACCTGGCCGGCCTAAACCCTAAGCTCGAATCCCTAAACCCA